GAGTTGCCTAAAAATGGTCACTTCTAATTAATTTGGAGAATAGTTCTTACCTTTTCTTTTAATCACAGTGTAAGTGCTTTCCATTCCGGCCTCAATGTGTTCACCAACATGGCAATGAAATAACCAGGTTCCAACATCTCTTGGATACATTTTTACAGTTTGATAGACACCAGGAGGAAGGTCATAAACATCAGATCGATACACTCCTTGATCCTGAAAATGGAGGTAAGTCATCATGAAGTAGCTTATGAAAGATACCCATCACTCACATATCTTACCAATTGCTATAACTCCCGGACTCTGATATGCTTTGTTAGGTGACAGACATTGTTAGGTACCTTTTACACTGATCCAGTCACTGGGGCTATTTTTTGTCTCTCCTCTGAGTACAAGTGAAGGTTTGCAGGAGAAATAAGTCCCAGAATATTCCAGTGTTACATAGTTGCAAAAAAAGTGTTTCATTCTGCAAGGGTTAGATATCTTGCCAGCAACAGAGTGCTCTAGATTTCAGAGACTCTCTAGTCTCATAAATCCCAAAGGTTCAAACTGAAATAATATTTTGAACAAGGGATGCTGTTGATGTGAAAGATGGTCATTTCTTGAGAAGCAGCTAACCAGGAAAACTCAGGATTGCAGGAGGGAGGGGAAGGGAAGGAGGAGACCTCCTGGCACCTGCAGCTGAGTCTGCCTTCTGGGGCTTGGGGCTTGGAGATGAGGGCTGAGGGCACTTGCTAATTTCTCTCCTAAATAGAGAAGCCAATGTTTAGGAAACTACCTACGGAGGCTGCTTTGAGTTTGAGAGAGGAAGTCTCAGGCCCTGGTCAAGCACAGATTAGGGGGACAGCAAGAGGGAGATGAATTGCCTGGCAAAATAAAATGGGAGGAATTTGGAGGATGGGGATGGGTTGGGGACTAAAGCCAAAGAATTCAGAATAATTTCAGGAGAAAAGAGATGTCTGAAGAATCTGGAGAGGAGGAACATGAGAATGAGAGTTAACAAGTAGCAGCCCTCCAGGCTCTCAGTGACAAAGTGAGAAGGGTAACTGGGGACAGGGCACTGGTGCCAAGTCGTGTGCTTTCACAGAAAGTCTGTGACTCAGAATGGCCTTGATTTTGTGGTTGCTCAAGAGGATCAAAGGAGATGGGGCGTGTTCCATTTTGGGGATTGCCCAGACCAATGAAAAAAAACCCCAGGCACAGGAGGTGAGAGGATGGTCAGCAGAAGCAGGGAATTAGAGCTGGGGTGACCAGAAGAAATTTAGGCTCTCAAGACTGCCCGAAGATCTTGGACGGCATCAGGAGGAAGGCTGAGCCATTCTCTACCTAGACGCAGAATGGGAGCTCAAGCCGTTGTTATTTAGAAAGATTAATTTTTCATCTAAGGTGAAAATAATACAGGTGACATAAGGTACATTCTTTAGATGTCAAAAAATTTAGAAAATAATTCAAAAATTTTAACTGTATATGGACAATATTCAAAGCACCAATAAATGTATAAAATATACCTGGAGCCCGGACACCCCAGAAGACCATGGCTTTAGGACACAAGCTCTGACTGACTGGCTTGTCCTGGACCAAGTTAGTAACTAGGAGGGCTGCACTGCTGCCCCCAGGAGTTGCAGGGAGTCAAGCCAGGTGGCTGCATCCTTGCTGGGGTGATTCATGCCTGCACCAAGGTGGGGAGCAGAGATGACATCACCTGCCAGGGATTTAGAGTGAGTGGCTGGAGGGAGTCAAGAGCTGGTAAACCAGGCTCTGTGGTGTCATAGACAAAGGGAGGGCAGTCGTGTGAAGGGTAAGGAGTTTGGACTCTAGAATGAGAGACAGGATTTAAATTCCAACTTCTACCATTTCCTACATGCAGGAAAGTTCTTTATCTTGTTAAGTCTTTATTGCCTTTCCCCGAAATCACCCCTGAAAGATGAATCTTCAATCTTTTTCCAGCTCCATCCAACACTTGGCATGATTCTAGGCATATTAGAGGCATATGCTAAACTCAACTACCAATTATATTTGACAAAGTCAAGCAGACTGTAAAACACTATATTTTAAATATCTCTTTTGCCCATACTTTAAAGTCTTTAACATGGCTATTAATTTAATAATAATCCCAATACATAGGCTTTTTCTTAAAAAATAAAGGGAGCCTAGATGGAAGTATACTGGGGTTAGAGCGGTTGACGCTGGCTCATGGGTAGTGCAGGGTTGTTATATTACTCTGCCTACCTTATTAGATAAAATCATCCATAATAAAAGGAGTTTTTAATGCCAAAAATGCAGCTTAAGAGGAACAAATTTGTTCATTAGAGGATGAAAAAAAAAGCAGCACACAAATAAGGCTTTGTGCAAACCAAGCCATGCGAGCTCATTTAATTTTCTCCCCCAGTGGACACCGTGCATTAACGAAGCTATGAACACAACACAGCTGCAATTCAGGAAGGCCCCAGGTGAAACTTTGGTCCATGTGGACAAGAAAGGCTGTGCCAAGTGGTTGGGTTAAATTTCTGAGGTGTGAAATGCAAAGATTACAATTGGTCCTAAATCAAACATGAATGTTTCTGCAAGGGATTAGGATGAAGAAATAAGGAAAATGCTCTTCCATTCAGTAAGTGATACTAACTGGGAAACTGAAAGTGGAAGGATAAAATTTTAAATACTTAACATTGTAGAAATGATGAGTCAAAAGTGGTCATAGGAAATGGAAGGAAGTCTGACTGGTAGGGTGAGAGAACAATACAAAAAGAAGATACACACGCCCTGAGACTCTCTTCAGCTGGTGTTGGTCGGTATGCTTTGTAAAATCCTTCATCATAAATGTGTAAACAAATATTATGCATTTAATGGAACCCATGGGAGGAGTCATGGGAACCGCAAGTTATAGCCAGCTGGTCAGGAGCACAGGTCAAACACCCTGGCGCTTGTGCCCGGCACTGGAAGGACTGAGCCCTCAGCCTGGGAGATCCTATGCTGTATCCAAGGTAGACAGGGCCAACATTGAATCAAGGACACCCCCTTGGTGTCCACTGCAGAATTAGTTCATTGGTTGCTAGTGGGAGAAATTCCCACACACTTCTTGGTGACCAGAGGTCAAAGAAGTCTTGTGTGTTGAAGGTGGTGAGAGAAAGAATGGGAAAAGCAGGCTGGTGTGGCTTTTATTCCTATATTTCCAGAAACACCTTCATCAAGTTATCAAACACGGCCTCACCTGTATTAGGACTTCTTGCACCATGTACCTGTTGGTGTGATGCATAGGAGGTACAGAGGGAATTACTAGACCAACACAGAATATGGAGCATTCCATACAACAGCCAGCCTAAGTCCTTAAAAATAACATGAAGACCATGACAACTGTGACCAAATGCTATGGATGACTCTGGGTTAGAGCCTGCATTAAAAAAAAAAAAAAAGCAGCTCTAAAAAGCACCTTGACGACAAGGTGGGCTATTTAAATGCACAGTGTATTAGACTATATTGTGGAATTCACGTTAACTTTGGGAGTGTGATAATGTTATTTTGGCTGAGGTGGAGATGGTCTCTATTCTCAGGACGCTTTAGCATCTTAAAGAGTTAAGGTGTTTGCAATTTACTTTTAGTTGGTTTCAGAAAAAACATAGCCGAGAAAGCAAACATGGCAAAGTGTATATGAACATCAGGGTATTTTTCTTTAGGTTACTGAAGGTTTGAAATTTTTAAAAAGTTGAGAAAAGTGAAACTAGAGATAAGCGTGAAAGTCTTATTTACCTGCTGAGTAACTAACAACAGATGAGAGAGAGAAAGGCACGTAAGTCTTCCACCTGCATTCACTGGATATCCGTGGGCTATCAAGAGCTAAATGTATTTATTTGTACCTGATATTTTATAGATGACATGTATTGAACTTATGGCTTGGCAATTTTCTTTCCAGCCATGCTACCCCAATAACTGGTTTATAAGGTACCACAGGAATTAAAGGGAGCTGCCAGAGGCTCTTACCGTAAATTCAAAGCTGTGACCATGAAAGTGAACTGTGTGCAGGTCAAATTCACCCCCCATGCCAAGCAGATACCAATTCACTTCATCCCCGACGTGCAGCGTTAGACCTTGGTTATTTCCAAATAGCCTTCCGTTAATTGCTATGGGGTGAGGGGAGAGGAACAGTGTATTACAGACAAGACTGAGAATGATGTCTCTGTGTGTGTTTTCACAATTTGTAGAAAGTACCCTAGATGAATTCAGAGGCCATGAGGATTTTAAAGCCAGCCAGAGAGGTTCGGCACCTGTGGCTCAAATGGCTAAGGCGCCAGCCACGTACACCTAAGGTGGCGGGTTCGAAGCCCAGGCCTGCCAAACAACAATGACGGCTGCAACCAAAAAATAGCCCAGTGTTGTGGCGGGCGCCTGTGGTCCCAGCTACTTG